ATACAGGCTCAAATGTTTCCAGTGTTGCCTGGGGCGGCTCTGGGAGTAGAGAGTCAGGTGGTGAGTTTGTAATGGCAGGTCAAATAGCTGTAACCTTATCAACAAAAAAGTGAAGAAAGTCTTTACAATTTCAACTGTGGGAGGCAAAGAACTAGAATCAGAGAACTCAAGTAGCGAATTTACTACAGAAAAAAGAGTGCGTGGATCATGAGAATTTTTTTCCACGATATCAGCAAAGAACTTCACCCTTGCTTCCTTAAGAGTTTGCTGATAGTTAAACAAAGATTCTCTGAATATCTCACGAGAGACTTGGAGTCTGTCTTTCTTCTATTTCCTTTCTGCCCTCCTGCAGGCTTGCCTGCAGGCCCGAATATCATCAGAGAGCCATGGTTCTGGCCTAGACTTTTGGAAATATTATACTTAATGTCATAATCATCCCTATGCCCAGAACATACACTTAGCATCTCCTGCAACCCAGCAGTGCTATGACTGAAGACAACAGGGTAATCTGCATAAGAGAGATGATTCACACAGACACTGCCGATCATGCACCCTGTATTGCACACTGACAACTATCTTGAGAGATCATCCCAATATAACTTAAGCCCTCTTCAGACAGGCCATGAAAAATGGAAATGTTCAGGACTCTGTCGGTAAGACCTTTGTGTCTGAATACAAACATCCGGATAACGTTTTCCTAATTAAACCGAACGATGCCCCTAGTAACAGGTCCGGACTTGTTACGGACAAGGTGGCAGCTTCAGACTGGTGAGGTTGAGTTCCGGACAGGGAGAAGGGGGAGGAGGAGGGGACCGGGGGACGCTGTGCCCTCCTACATAGCTCGCTCCTGTAGCATGTGGCAAACCATGGCAGCTCGCTTCCTACGGTACCGTCTAGACGCGCGACGGAGCGCATCACACCACTTCCGTGATTCCTTTAACCATTGAGCACCATCATCCAGGTCTTATGCGTCTTCGTGTGGGCAGAATTATGCTTAACAGAAGTCCGATCCCCCCCCCCCCCCGGAATCTGGAACCTTTCCCTGCTGTGTGAGGCAGCCGAAAGGACAGGTTCCGGTACAAAAGTGGTGTGTCTGAAAACACAGTTCTGGTTAAAAACTGGACTGAATTGTCCACACATATTCCGGAATGTCAATCTGAAAAGGGCTTTAGAATACTGGCGACAAGACCCCCCCCACCCCACCCCCCCCCCCCCCCCACACACACACACTTTTTGTAACTCCTTTAAGTGTACTTAAATGCTTAAAATTCTGAATTAATGAGCATCAGAGCCAGAGTTAGCAGTTAGAGCTAGCTCCGGGGAAAGGCTCCAGCCTTACGTAAATAGATGTTTGGCCATTTCCACTCTGAACTTTAGTTGTGTACTCTGTGTGTTCATGTTTAAATGGTAGGAATGATTTGGACAAAGAGAGCAAGCTCCATGATGTAACAGTGGGAAAATGTTGCTTCAAAATATGTCATTTTGTCAGAAACTCATCCCATTGACAGATGGAGATGCTCCTCTATTTAAACACAGCTTGGCACTTCAATGTCAGGCGAAACAGCAGCTGTATCAGTCGCGTGACCACTTCTTAAAGGACAAATGCACCGACACAGGGTCTTACTCTGACTTACTCTAAGATACATGTGCCAATGCATCAGTGTTGCTGGACCCATCACTCCACACATTATCAAAATAAAAGACTTAAATAAATTACCTGGCTGCTACCTGGACAACCTATGTTTGTGTCCTACTTCTACAAAGCTTTCCTGGCAATAGCTCTTGATCATGGTGCACCAGGAGATGGGCCATTTTCTGTACTTCCTGCAGTACAAAGACCCAATCGTGTCCCTCAATAATGAAGCCAGTTTGGTTTCCATGCAGCCCTTGGTGATGTTCCTTCCCTGTCTGTGTCCACACCCAAATGCCTGCAGAGCACCAGCCTTTAGTTGAAGATAACTGCAGTGAATACTGATGAAAAAATTGAAGATAAAATGATATTCTACATCAGTTTCATAAAGTGCATTTCACTTGATGCTTTACAAAAGAGGAAACAAAACAGTGAACAAAACAATAAAACAAAGTAGATTCTATCTGAATTACTAAAATTGCTAACCTGGCCACTTATGCAGGACGTGAAGGGTTCTGATACGTAAGGTTCCAATGAAAATAAAAACAAATTGAGTATAAAAAATAATCTTCATTTATTAAAGAAACTCTGTTACAAAAAGAGTTGTCATCAAAAAGCATACAAAAACAAATTTCTTTTCAGACTTTAACAAACCTATTCCGGTTAGAAAACTGTCGCTCCTCACCCTGCTCAATAACTCAACCATTTCCCTTTACTTTTCTCCCTTTTTGGGCTAGCCCCGCCCAATTCAGCCTAAAATAAAATGAATCTTATTGCACATGACATTAAAGGGGTTCACTATTCGTGCAAAAACTTACATAAAACGTACAAAACAGCAAGAAAATAACCAGATCTTCATACTAAAATAAACAACCTCTGTATGGCTCCAACACAAGTGAAATAATTTAATGGGATTTGAGTGCCTGATTCAAGAGAGGGATTTCCGGAGAGTCAGAGACTTGGCTATGTAGGGGCAGAGCATTCCATAGGGTGACTATGGAAAAAGCTGTCTCCAATGCTTTGAAATGATCTGAGAGAGGAGGTAGAGGATAGGAGACAGTGGGAGGGGTGATGATTTTGCAGAAGATCAGAGAGGTAAGGAGGGGTGCAGTTTAAAGATTTGTAGGTGATGAGTAAGAACTCGAAATGGTTGTGTTGCTGAGCCAGTGGAGCTTTTGTTGGTCAGGAGAAATGTGATCTCTAGTGCAGGTATGGGTGAGTAGCTGGGCAGCTGAATTCTGAACAATCTCCAGCTTCTATGAAGGATGCTAATGCAGTAAGGCATGATTGATGATTTCTGCTGCAGAAAAGGACAGAGTGGAGTGGAGCCAAGCAATATTTTGTAAGTGAAAGATGGCAGTTTTAGTGACATGATGGAAGTGTGGTTAATGAGAGGATGGAGTTAAAAACAAATCTATTAGGCCTTACACATCTGGTCCAAAACGGTCCCACCCGGGTAGGGTTTTTGGTGTTCACAGCCTGGCTTTTTTCAGTGCTCAGCAGGTCGTTTTTTCAGACCTCTTCCCCCGGCGGTCTGCTTCAGGCTGAACTGACCCAACACATCCACTGCTGACTGATTGGCCAGCTCAAATTCACACCTACCTTTAGGGGGAGCCTCTCGTTGGTGGGTAGAATCAGCCACTGTCACTGATACGTGCTGTGAGGAGCACACATGCAGAGACAGCAGCGCTGAGGCTTGAGCTGCATGAGGGCAGACGCAGCAGTCTGGATGCAATATCACAGTTGAGTCTCCAAAAACAACATTGCTTACTGCCACCTTTGTTTACTTAAGGGGGATACAATGATGCAATGCTTCTAATTGGACTTCCACGAATCTTCTGCCCACTGGCTTGTGTAACGATGGGTAGTTTACATCTTACTTATGAACCATAAAATGTGAGATTCCATAAAAATCTGAAACATCAATCTGATGGATCTTTGAATATTTTAACCAGAAGATCAGAACTTTTTATTGCAGGGATTACATGACACTTCGTATTAACCCCGAGGAAAGAGTCAGGTTTAAAATAGTTAAGAAATTTATTTCTACACAATTTAAACAAGACTAACTTTAAACAATGTGTACTGATGAACTAGGTGGAATGAGACGTGAGATGAATGATGTATATGTGTGGAATGTAATCAGAACCTCGTATCCGGAGAAGCATTTAGTTCTGAGTGGGAGTGAATGTTTCGCTCTAAACTTTAGTAGGAGATTTATAACACACATGAAACGCCATCTGTCGGTCTGCGTACCCCAGGGGAAGCCTCCGTTTAGATCCAGAATGTCGAGGTCCGTGGACGCCTCCTTGGAACCGAAGCCGGTAGAAAAGCAGCGGTGCTGACCAGTCTAACCTCGGAATGCTCCCAGGTCACGACAGGTTATTATTGGTGTCAGCGAGACCCTGAAGGGGTCGTGAGGTTCAGCTGTTATTCTGAAGGAACCGGTGCGGTCAGGTGTAACGTGCAACAGATTTTATCCAGCTTGTCGAGCAAGGTTCTTTCGGCTGAAGAGGTGTTCAGATGGCCTGTCAGAACTTCTCTAGAACACTTTGACCTGAACTAAAGGTGACGTGGGAATAGTTTTTATAATTGCCATATTTTGGTTTACTGGCGTATCAGAATTTGACATGCAAAAGAGGGCTTATACAAACACCACAGAAAACCACGCCTCATATCAGAAACGAAGGTTCTGATTGGATCAGACAAAAAGGAAATGTGTCATGTGACTTTAGCATTACTCTGTGTCATCACGTGTCTAGTGAAGCTGTCCAAGATTATAATTACTTGTAAAATATTACTGAGCACAGAATTATAATATCAAGTAATAACATTATTTCACAGCTTGAACATTGGGCTCCCATTATAATTGGCAGTAACAAACATTGTTTGATTATGTATTCATCAAGAGAGTTCTCCGTCTTGTCTTAAGCTGTAAAGAGGCGAAGCAGTCCAGATGAGCAGAGGCATGAAAGGCCTTGGCCAATATCTCATGTAGATTAGGCCTGTGTCAGAGACTTAATGTCTCCACTCGAGCAGACACAGCAGAGCATGACCTTTAGGTCAAAAACAGGACATTTCATGACGCTACACTTGGAAATTTCCATGTTCTTGAGAAGTGTGCAAGAACAAAATCTACTGGTGTGGGACAGATGTGAAAGTGACATAAGGTTTCTGATCTGAAGGGAGGGAGTGACAGTGGACCTCGCCGACGCATCAAGCATAAACCAAGCTTGAACGTGTGATTTAGAAACACGTCCATTTTGTGATTGATTTATTTGTAAATGCTGAAGAAAATAAGTGTTTATAGTGAATGGAAAGTAGTAATAGATCGTTCCTCTATTCAGAACAGAATGAACTCAAATTGTTTGGTTGTTAAAAACAATTTAATTACATTTGAACTACACAGTACAAAAAAAAGCATTTGTGCATTTGTTTCAGCCCTTCCTGTTCCCACCCTCCCCCCTCCCCACACCGACACCGACTGAAGCCTCACATGACAGAGTACCCTAGAGCTTTTAGGGTTGGGGCCAGGAAACACAGGATTTAGTCCCAACTAAGGACTGTTTTATCTCAGTGCCGTGGTTCGACCTCACAGAGAGTCTTTGTTTATCCAGGGACAGCAGTAGCTCAAGAGGTAGAGCAGGTTGTCCTGTAATTAGATGGTTGCAGGTTTGATCTCTGCTCCCACCAGAGAATTCTGCTGTTGTGTGCTTGAGCAAGACACTTAACCCGCCTTGCCTGCTGGTGGTGGTCAGAGGAACCGGTGGCACCAGTGAATGTCAGGCCTTGCCTCTGTTCAGTGTGCCCCACGGCAGCTGTGGCTACAACATAGCTCATTACCACCAGCGTGTGAATGGGTGGGTGAATGACTGACTGTGCTGTGAAGCGCCTTGGGGGGGTTGTGGAACCCTAAGAAGGAGCTATACAAATACAGATCATTTTTACCATTCATCCAACCTTTCCAGCGTCAGCCACTAACGAGCAGAAAAACAAGCATTCTTTCACACCATTTTCAATTTCATTCATCCATGCTGGAGTTTATAATAAAAGACCAAAATAATCTCCTTTTAATTCCAGTGTTTCGACTCCCTGTGTAAAAATCTTGGTCTTTCTGGTGTAATAAATAATAAAATGTACCCTAATGACTTAATTGACACACAATCAGGAAGCTGAGGTTCGAATGACCTTTGCCTGTGGAAATTAACGAGAAGTTATTGAATGAATTCCATATGAACTAAAATGATACCTCTGTGCAGCAAGTTAAGGGTAAATGGGACTGAACTGAAATGACAATTCACATATAAAAAAAAAATCTAGCGACAAGAGACAATGTAGACAAAAACGAACGAATCAACAAAAAAGTCGCTTAAAAGATATAAGAACAGGTGAAAAAGAGATGAAATTCTGCATGCAGTCTCCAGATTCAGCACATGGCAGAGGCTAACACTGCAACCAACAAAAATACTTAACAAATTACAATCTCAGGAAAAAATGTTCGGCATATTGCACAGAAAAAGTTGAAGAAATATAATTAAAAAATCTGAAATGCACTTTCTGTATTTGTTGCGTGCGCTGCAGTGTCTCAATATGGCTCAGTGAGGATCGGTGCTCTCCACCCAGCCCGTGGCGGTGGGTGGTTCAGGGTTCAGAGCAAAGTTTAGGCATCAGTAGTAGCAACGCTGCATCTCTGTCCAGCTGGTAATCCAGTACTTTTTCTGTGGATCCTCAGGCTGAAATCCCAGTTTGAACTGATAACGTTCAGCTCTGCGAATTTTCACCCCCTGGTGCTTCGGCATTATCCGGTAGTAGATGGATCGCTTGAAGAATCCAAGCTGCTGGGAAAACAGAAAGGAGAACGCATTTGCTTGGAGGGGAAGAAAACTGCAGGAGAAATGGGATTAATGACAGAGGAGAGTTGGGATATCAAGGCTGTGGAAAATACGATGGACCATAGTGGGAAGTAGAAAAGGAACAGGAATGGAGGTTTAGTGTTTAGCCTGAAATAAAACCAGAGGGAATATTAGTTTGATCACTTAAAGAAAGCTGAGGAGACAGAAAGGAAAGAGGTACGTTAAGTTACACCCCAAAGTAATTCATAAAAAAATGTCCATTCGAGGGGAGTTTTTACCCAAAACCCCTTTGATGTGTGCTGTCGGTAAACACGTAGGGGTCTTAGTAGTCCTCAGTCAGCCTCTCTGTCTCAGAGGGCTGGATCTTCATCTCAGCCTTCTGGGATTTGGCCTCATAAATCTCCCTCCTGCTAGCTCTCTGGAAGAAGCCACACTGGAGGAGGAGGAAGGTGCACCAAGGGGGTAAGGTTAGACTAATGGCTCAGAATGGATCACACCATCCACACAGGATGTTTGCTACATAGAAGCCATCTTAAACTCTTAATCTACAGAACTACAGCAGAGTGGGATGAGTCTCACCTTCCACAGTATAAGAATGATGATTCCTAATAGAACGATTCCTGCTACAGCTGAAGATATGATGATCCAAACAGGAAGCACATAGATGGCCTCCACCATCTCCTCTGATTCTATCTCCACTGAAAACTACCAGAAACACGAAGAAAGTTGAAAGAAATCAGAGTTATTACTAGGGCTGTCAATAGATAAACATTTTTCATTTTAAAGAATGGTATGAATTCCATTGTTAATAGTTAATTACCAATATGAAATGTTTACCACATACTTCAAAGGTCTGGTTGTCCATCTTGATGGTTGGTTTGTCTGTGATGAGTTTCAGTGTGGCCTGACCTTTGACCGTAATGATGAGGGCATCGGAATAGTCCTGAAAATATGAAAAGATCAAGTAGTCTAGGATTGTGTGTGTGTGTGTGTGTGTGTGTGTGTGTGTGTGTGTGTGTGTGTGTGTGTGTGTGTGTGTGTGTGTGTGTGTGTGCGTGTGTGTGCCCACCTCCAGCATTGTACTGTTCCATAAACGGGACCAGACATGTATCTTGGCTGTGTTGGACATATTGAGCAGTGGACAGGTAAAAGTCACACATCTAGCTGTCCCCACAGAGCAATCCTATGAGACAAAAAGTCCTTATTTATGAGAACAAACATAGCAGACAATCCTGTTTTAATTTTCCTGACTGGTATTTGTTTTAATTTTTTAACTTTTTTTTTTATAAATGCATGGAAATTTCATAGTTTTACAGTTTAAAAAGCACATTACACTGTGTTGTCAAAAGTAGATGCCTGCCTTCACACACTTAAGGACTTTAACGACCTCACATTCTTGAGCCATGGGAGCTCGCCAAACTATTTCAGCTAAAACTGCTTCAACCATCATCGAAAAACTAGTTTTATACGAGATAATTTGCTAACAGTCTGACCATATATTTAAAAAACATCATCGCCCATCTGTAAACTTTTTGCCAGCACACAATGTGTTGAGACCATTGAAAGCTTTTGAAACATAGGTCAAGACCTTGAACTTCACCCTAAAATACAAGGGGAGTCAATGAAGATGTGCAAGGACAGGAGTAATGTGACAACATCAAAGTTGCTCAATGTGTGTTATCACACATTCATAGGATTTCAGGGCTTGTTTTTGCTGACATTCAACAGATTTTTACCTGTGGTCACAACACTGCTTTCTTCTCAGTGTCTTCCTTCTGTGTTGGTCACACTGTGTCGGTTATTTTTTGATAAAATTATGTTAAACAATAGTAACGTCACATATCAACATGCTACCCCTGGAGTCTGCTTACAGCACATGACTCCTGCGACTTTTTCATCGTAAACTAACAATTATGTCTGTATTCCATGAAGAAACATTTATGTAAAAATGAACGCTGAGGAGACATGTCAGCAGTTTATTTAAGGTGTTGAAACAAAGTCTCTTTAAATGTGAAATATTCTTGCTAATGTGGCAAATGATTTGTTTGTCTTGCTATTATTGATATTACGATGGTACAAAAATTAATGAAAATTAAGAGATGCATTTTTTCTAAATAAGTACAGCAGGCACGTCTTGATCAGCATGCATGATTTTGTGTCACTAGAGTTAACAGTCCAGGAGCAAATTTAATGACAAAACCTCAAAGGTTCACTAAAAATCTGAGAATTATTTTCCCCCAAAAGTAAAGGTTGTACTATTTAGAGGAGCTAAGTATTGACCAGCAGGCTTGATTTTGTGTCAACAGAGTCAACAGTGTAGGAGCCACTGAAATTAGAAAACTTAAAAAATTCACAAAAACTCTGAGAAGTATTTTTCCTAAAAGTAAAGGTTGTATGTAGAACAGCTAAGTGTTGACCAGCAGACGTGTTCTTGTGTCAACAGAGTTTACAGTGTGGGACCTACTGAAACTAGAAAGTTTAAAAAATTCACAAAAAAATCAGACGTATTTTTTCCTAAAGTTTAGGGTTGTAGAATGTAGAGCACAAAAGTGTTGACCAGCAGGCATGATTTTACATCGCTACTTTGCAGTGTTGGGGCTATTGAAATTACAAAGTACAAAAAAATTCATGAAAAATCTGAGAATTATTTTTACCAAAAATCAACACTGTAGTATGTAGTGCATGTTAGTGTTGATCAGCAGGCATGATTTTGTGTCCACAGAGTTTACAGTGTAACAGCTATTGAAAATCCAAATTTTTAAGAAATTATATTAAATCAGATAAGTATTTTGTAAAAAATAAAATTCAAATTCAAATTCAAATTCAAAAATACTTTATTAATCCCAGAGGGAAATTGATTGCTGTAGTAGCTCAGGATAATAATAATCAAGTCATCAAAGAGTTGTTGTATATTACAATGGCTGTTGGCAGGAAGGATCTCCAGTAGCGGTCAGTGTTGCAGCGAAACTGAAGAAGCCTCTTACTGAAGACACTCTTCCGTTGTCGGACAGTCTTGTGAAGAGAATGCTCAGGGTTGTCCATCATTTTCTTGATTCTCTGGAGAATCCTTCTCTGCATTATCTCCTCCAGTGGTTCCACAGTCGTCCCCAGAACAGAACCAGCCTTTTTTATTAGGCTGTTGAGCCTTTTCAGGCCCCTGCTTCTGATGCTGCTACCCCAACAGACGATGGCTGAAGAGATTACACTCTCAACAACAGACTTGTAGAAGATCTGCAGCATCTTGCTACAGACATTGAAGGACCTAAGCGTTCTCAAGAAGTGCAGTCTGCTCTGTCCCTTCTTGTAAACAGCTTCACTGTTCTTTCTCCAGTCCAGTCTGTTGTCCAGGTGAACTCCAAGGTATTTGTATTCCTCAACCACCTCCACTTCTTCTCCCATGATGGAAACAGTGTTTGACTCCACCCTGTTTCTTCTGAAGTCTAAAATCATCTCCTTTGTTTTGTTCACGTTCAAGGTCAGATGTTTGTTTCCACACCATGCCACAAAGCGCTCCACCAGCTCTCTGTACTCAGCTTCCTGTCCATCTCTGATACACCCGACAACTGCAGAGTCATCTGAGTATTTCTGTAGATGACAGGTCTCTGATTTGTACTGGAAGTCTGAGGTGTACAGGGTGAAAAGGAATGGTGAGAGTACAGTCCCCTGTGGTGCTCCAATGTTACTGATCGCCTGGTTTGATGTGCAGTTCTTCAGCCTCACAAACTGTGGTCTGTTTGTCAGGTAGTCTTTAATCCAGGCGATAGTTGAGGTCCCCACCAGTGTCTTCTGGAGTTTCTGGCAAAGTACATCAGGCTGGATTGTGTTAAATGCACTGGAGAAATCAAAGAACATGACCCTCACAGTGCTGCCTGCTTTGTCCGGATGACAGTGGGTTGGTTGAAGCAGCTGGATGATGGCATCTTCAACTCCAACTCCATGGCGATAAGCAAACTGCAGCGGGTCCTGATATTTTCTAGTTTGCTTATTCAGGTGGACCAACAGGAGTCTCTCCAGGACCTTCATGATGTGGGATGTCAGGGCAACCGGTCTGTAGTCATCATTGACTGATGGGCGAGTTTTTTTTTTTGGAACTGAAACAAGGCAGGATGTCTTCCACAGGACTGGAACCTTCTTCTGGGCCAGGCTGAGGTTGAAGAGGTGCTGCAGAATCCCACAGAGCTGCTCTGCACAAGCCTTCAGTACTCTGGGGCTGACACCATCTGGACCTGCAGCCTTGTTCCTGTTCAGTCTCTCCAGCTGCCTCTTCACCGACTTCTAGAGACAGATTGGTGGGAGGGGGAGGTAACTGGGGCAGCAGCATCTCCTGACTTGGTTGAAGACAGATTAATAGAACCAGATGAGTCCATGACTGTGTTAGAAGACAAAAGAGCTGGCGTGTGACAGGAAAATGTTGGATCAGAGGAGGATGGGATGTCTGATTGGCTGGGGACAGGTGAGGAGGATGCTGGGTTTGTTCCTGAACTGAACCTATTGAAGAACTTGTTCAGTTCATTGGCTGTGTCCAGGCTGCCATCTGTGCAATCCTTCCTCTGCTTGAAGCCTGTGATCTTCTTCATCCCTGACCAGACATCTCTGATATTGTTCCTCTGTAGTTTGTTCTCTAGCTTCTTCCTGTATGCCTCCTTGCTGTCTCTGATCTTGATCTTCAGTTGCTTCTGTATACTCCTCAATAATTCCCTGTCTCCCTCCTTGAAGGCTCTTTTTTTCTCATTTAGCAGATTCTTCAGTTCACTGGTGATCCAGGGTTTGTTATTAGCGAAGCATCTCACTGTTCTGGTGGGTATGATGTTGTCCACACAGAAGTTTATATAGTCAGTGACACATCCAGTCATGGCATTGATGTCCTCTTCATATCCTTGACAGAGAGTCATCCAATCTGTGGTCTCAAAACAACTCTGCAGGGCTTCTTCGGCGTCCTGTGACCATTTTCTAACAGTTTTTCTTGTCACAGGTTGCCTCTGAACAAGTGGTTTGTATTCCAAGCAGAGAAAAACAAGATTGTGATCTGATTGTCCCAGAGGAGGTCTTGTTTTGGACATGTATGCATTCTTTACATTTGCATAACACAAATCCAATGTCTTGTTTTCTCTGGTGGAACAGCTGACAAACTGTTGAAATGTTGGAAGTGAAGCAGAGAGCGAGGCATGATTAAAATCACCAGATATAGCCACAAATGCATTGGGGTGCTGGGTTTGTAGCTTTGCGACAACGGAACTGAAGGCATCACATGCATTTTCAGCAATGGCTGAAGGTGGAATATAAACGGTTGCCAAGACAACACTGGTGAACTCTCTTGGAAAATAATATGGGCGACAACTTACTGCCAAGAGTTCAACATCTGGGCTGCAGAGACGACATTTCACTGAAATATGACCTGGATGGCACCATCTATTGTTGACAAGCACTGCCACTCCACCTCCTTTTCTTTTCCCGCTCCTCTTCAGATCTCTGTCTGCTCGTACAGTCAGGAATCCTGGCAGAGAGACGCTGGAATCGGGGATATGGTCCTGCAGCCACGTCTCACTGAAACACATAACACTGCACTGCCGATACCCTGGCTGAGTCCTTGAAAGGGCTTGGAGTTCATCCATCTTGTTGGCCAGTGATCTCACATTGCCCATTATGATCGATGGAAGAGATGGTTTGAATTTCCTCTTTCTCTGTCTCCGTTTTGCTCCCGCTCTGCACCCTCGCTTCTTGCGTTTTAGCTCATTTGGGATTTGTGGCTTCAGTTGAGGTATTATTTCAGCTTTCCCAATGTTAATCAGCTGCTCCCGATTGTAAACCAGCTTGTTGCCATGGTTACACATCATAACAAATGCTCAAAAAGTGAAAAAAGTAAAAAATAGCAGTAAAAATCCTCCAAGCTTCACAGCACCAGAAACAGAAAAGTAAAATGTCCAACAGAATACCGTTTTTCTTGAGAAACTAGAAGAAAAAATGTCCAAGAAAAGGCAAAACTTACATACAGTCAACAGAGCTACTCCAACATGCAGCCACCCCGAGCAGCGCAGTTCCGGAAAAAAATAAAAATAAAAAAAAGTAAGTAAGATTATAGTATATAGAGCAGCTAAATGTTGATCAGCAGGCATGATTTTGTGTCTGCAGAGTAGGAGTTATTTAATTTATATGCTTTAAAATATCACCAAAAGTCAGAGGAGAAGAAAATAAAGAAACGTGTATTATTTTCTCTAAAAACATAAAATTCAAATTCAATTCAAATTCAAAAATACTTTATTAATCCCAGAGGGAAATTGATTGTCTAGTATGATCAGCATCAAAGTTGTGATTTTCTGTGTGAATTTGGTGTCACTATAGTTTCAAATGGAGGAGCTTTTGCAATTTATATTATTAAAAGTTTCACAATAAATCAAAACTGTATACCTGGATTTAACTAAATAGTGTAGTGTGATCAGCGTGTGTGCAGTGTTGTATTTTGTGAATTTGGTCACACTGCAGTGTGTAACTGTGGACTTTTTTACATATTTTATCATCAAACATTTCTGTTGTGATGGTTTGCTGATGGTCCCTGAGCGCTGGTTTTGCTCCGTCGGCCCACAGAGATCAATGTAACGCGTCGGGAGCAGAGCACGACAGAGAACGGGTTTGTTTTTAAGAAACGAGGTTGTAGCTTGTTCAATACCTTGCCACGATACCAAAGAGGTATGTTATGTTTCTAAATACCCCTCTGTTCAGAAGGTATTGCGCCGCAAAAGTCGAATCTGTGAATATCTTGCAAATTTTACTGAAGTAAACGACACACGCTTCTCCAGTTTTTATTTGGATGACAAAGTGAACAGAAAACACAGAAAACGGTTGCTACAGAAAAGCAAGCTTGTGTGTTTTTTCTGCTTACCGTGTAATCTGTGATCAGAAACAGCAGAGACGCGTTCTGAATAAAGACCGTATTCTTAATTTGTACGCTTCGTTTCCATGTAAAGTCTAACATCAACAGTCAGTAACACTAGTGAAGTGTAGTTAGGGTGCACTTTTATTAACAGATCAGTGCTGTTGTTTAAACCTTTCTCGGGGGGGGGGGGGGGAGGGGGGGGGGGCACGCTGGTGGAGTCCAACCAGTGACAGCACCAAGCACAAAGAATGGATAGCCTTTAGAAATGGTCCATGTCTGTTTAGTATGGTGTGAGCTTTCCCAGGTCTAGAACAGTCTACCTTCAAATCTCCGTCTCTCTAACACTGTAGAGGTCTTTAAAAATCATCTAAAAACTCACCTTTTCATCCAGGCGTTCCCTCCCTAAATGTTTCAAAAAGATGGCTTTGTTCGGGTTCACATCTTCACTTTGTTTATACTCATGATTTTATTTTCTACGTTTATCACTGCTATTGTTTTTCTGATGTTTTTATTGGTTAGAGGTATTTGCCCTGATCTTTATCATGTTGTACAGCGCTTTGTGATTTATATCTGTGAAAGGCGCTATATAAATAAACTTTTACTTACTTACCTAATATTTATCATATAGACTGTAATGTGCTGAGTTCTCCTCTGCTCCTTCTGCTACAGACTGACCTGAAGATGGATGCTCGACACAAACGCTAACAACTGTTTCTCCTGTGTAGTTTCTGTCTGATGGTTCAACAAAAGTCACATCCAGCATGGCAGCAAGTCATGGAGCCAAACCAAGGAAAGGATGGTGTGATGTTAGCAGGAGGCTGGTGAGCTGGGAGCTGATAAAGGTACAAACACAACCTGAAGGTTCCTCATCTCCAGGCTAACACAGAAGCTGATGCTGAGTCAAGAGCACTAGATTCATTTATATTTCACATGAAGATGTTTTAAAAAGTTGCTACCGGGTATTTTATAAATTATTACATCACTGTTATGCAATTTTCTGTAGAATCTGTCTTTCTATTCTAAAGGTGCATTTTTTTTACTTACATGTAAATGTACACCCCTACATCTGCTTAATAAATGCTTTGAAACGTTATCAACTCATATTTCATTTGTTGCCTATTTTGTATATTTAATACTTGGTCAGTTTAATGGTATTTTTAATTAATCTTGTTATTATTATGTTTGATTATAACCCTGAGCAGTGCACAAAATGAAGATTCAACAGTTGGTTAAATTCCGTGTTAAAAAAACTGATTAGGTTCAGAAATCTTGTGCATCCACAATTGTTTTTAGTGATAATTAAGCAATCTGATAAGGTGCCAAACATCGAGAAATCGGCCCCAAAAAATCGGCAGCACTTATCGGCTGACCACGACTGCCTCATATCGGTATTGGCAATAGAAAAACCAATATCGGTCGACCTCTAGTTTGATGCATAAACACAAACGACAGTCAGGACCCATCCACCCCCCACGTTTGTCCTACTAAGACATTTTTTAAACATAAAATTACTTTGTGCCACAACCGATTATCCCTATGAAGATAACTAGTCTCTGAAAATTTAAGTTTTTCATCATTTTATGAAATGCAAATATTTGCATGTCTGTTAAGTGTGGTGTGACACTCACCAACAGGTACTTTTTCCGAGGTGTGAGCAACGTGGTTGCTGCCTGTGACTCCACATTAAGGTGCTGCATAGTTGCATTGACATGATCTTCTGCTTGTCGTTTAGCACGTTTGGATTTGCTCTTAGACAACTGGAAGACAGAAGAAATAACAAACAAAAAAGAGGAGGAGGACATACATTACATCAGAGAACACGTGCTGCTGGTTCTGATAAAGACAATAGCTGTGTCATGTCTTCTGTCCATGCATAAGCTGAACACATTTCTTTTTCAAGGTTTCTGAGGTTAGCATGTGGCAACACAAAGTGTATTTCTGGCCAGTGGTTTAGCACTGGGACCAGTTTAGCACCACTTACCATTGCTTCACCTCACCCTAATGTCACCATTACTGCTCATGTGCTCAGAGTCAGTGGGGTTTGTGTAAGTTTAGCTCTGTTCAATGTAAAACGATTTCAAGGGACTGTCAACAAATTAGCTTTTGTCATTTAAAAAGTAGTTGAATCATTACAGTAAAATGACAGCATGACTCAGCATTTATGCTAATGACTAGGTTTGAAAAGCAGTATTTTGAATTCAGAATTATAAATGAACTGGTGTTATATTTTAGCTCCTAACAGTTGTTGTGTTTGTGTGGTGGGTGGTGTTAGCATTAACTCAAAACTACTCCTGATAATAGCTTCCAGGAACTGCTGGGATATATGCAAACCCTCTTGTTTTTAGTTGTTATTTTAGTGTTTTGCTGTCTATTATTTATTTATTTATTAATTTATTTTTCAAATAAACTCCATCCAAAGATTAAATAATATTCATTTTAAATTTACTGAAACACCAACTGGGGGCAGCAACTTAGGAAATGATCTCCAGGAATTCCCAGAAGTGTTCAAAGGCGAACTACTAGCAACGTATTTTCACCATATTTGGAACAAGAGATAAAATGAGAAGTCCTAATTTTATACACAGTGCTCAGCTTAAATGAGTACACCTCGCTACATCTGTCAGAAAACCTTTAGTTTCCTTTCAGAACCAACATTTTCTATGAGATACCATACTACAAGATACTCCCACAAATGTGGGCCATTGATGGCAAACAAGATGTGTTCATTTGCACAAACAAAAAATAATGATTTTCCTAACAAATCCATTCAAGCCCAGGTTGCAAAAATAAGTCCACACCAATAGTCTCAGGAGAGAAGTCACACTTAAATGCCTAAAAGACTTGGTGCTGTCCGTGTAAATGACGGTGGTCTTACAAAATACTAGCTGTAGTAGTTTTTGCTGTGGGTTGTTTTCATTTTAGCTTCAACCAATTGCAGTAAAACTGAAGATTTTGTCATCTAAGTTGTATTATTTATCTTAATTTCATGTTATGGAGTTGAACAAGTATTGAGTAAAACCCAGCCTTGTGAAAGCTATATCTTTTATTATATATCTTTTATTAACTGAGCTACTGATTAAATTAGTACTTTTTTTATTTATTCATGCTGAGCAGCGTGTATGTAAATATGTATTATATATATATATATGTGTGTGTCTATATATATATATATATATATATATATATATATATATATATATATAGACACACACACACACACACACACACACACATATATATATATATATATATATATATATATATATATATATATATAGACACACACACACACACATATATATATATATATACATTATAATACACTATGATACACTATATTTGCCTACAAAGTTTGTTAGCCTAGACTTGTTAACAGACAGTAGCCACGCAGAGTGATTTTGATCTGCCTTTCGGTTTAGCCATGGTATTGGAACCTCAGCAGGCCTGAACAGTCTTGTGCTTTGCCAATCACAGTGCTCTGTTGGTTTGGTGGGTGGGATAACGTGATGGAGCAGGACAACAAAGATGGCGTCAGCTTGTTTAAAATGGCTTTCGCTTTGGACTATTTAGACTTGGGATTTTCTTTGAGTCAAGAGCAGATAGAGGTACTTAAGTTGTTTATTTAGAAAAGGGATATATTTGCGTCTTCTTCAACAGTGTATGGCAGACTGCCCCATTGACAAACATCTGTAGGTCATGTTGTTCATTTTCCAATAGCATGTGAAGACAGTATGAAAGACAACTGTAGATTCCACCCCACGACTGAGCTCTGTCTATGGGTCGTGGCCAGACTATATATTCACATATTTAGGATGGCTTGCCTTTCCTAAACTTACTTATTTCCAATTTAATTTCTCATAAACCTTCTCTAATCTAATGCTTTCTGCCACTTGGTGGAGATCCAGATGGCAAGTGCCAATTTTAAACATTATGGTTTAGTAACAAAACAAAACAAAAAAAATATCACAGTATCAGTTTAAAATAAATTATATCATTTTAAGTTAATTTAATTTTCTGACCATTTTATCTACATTCCTATTTAATGACAGATCCCATTTATTATCACTACATATTAACAATTTTTTGTTTTAGGATATTGACTTGTGATTTCCTTCTTGCAAATGTTTATGTCAGCATCACCTGAGCTTGTTTTAAGTTTGCAGCTCACCTGCGGAAATGTGCAATATATTTAGATTATTGACTATTATTACTACTATTATGACTCATTAAGAAACTGTGAATTAACGGCAGCAATTGGGCCCAAAAAAGCTCCTTACCTTTAGTTTAAGAAAGTTGACAACTCCTCCAGATGGTTCACATTCCATTTCTGATTGTCCTGAAACAACAATCTGTGTCAGGTACAGCAACCACTTCCCATTGGCAACCTCATAGGGCCACTGGAAATCCACAGCAAGGGTCCCCATGTTTCCCAGTCGCTGTCCATTCATGCCCACCTGATGGCAAAAGTGGCCACGATTAGAAAAATACCATAAAGGGGAGTCTTAAATTCATTCTGACTCAGAAATATTAGCTTGGTCATGTTTACACCGCTGAAACAACACAATATTAAACTTCTATGACTTCAAAAGCTGGGTGGGGAAAACAGGAGAGTAGCACACAAATTATAGATAAAATATAGTCCTAAAGGTGACTCACATCGAAGGTCAACTCCACCAGGCTGCCTACGTCACTGGTGTTCTTCATGGCGTACTCGCCCATCACTTTGCCACCAAATTTGGTTCGTACATTCGTACTGTAAAAAAATTAGTTAAACATATTTTGACATCTGAGATACAAAAGAAAACAACTGCATGAGTGGAAAATAGCACAGGGACTCACCCAGTTAAGGTGGTTTGAATGACGTTTTCTATCATCATAGTCGTCACCACAGGCATCAGGTCACTCTGCTCACTAACACTGTAGGAACCAACCTTATTACAACACTGCCGATCTTTACTTTCTGGTGTATGACCTGTTATCATCATATCGGCCACTATCCTGGACCGGCACTACAACTAGTAATGGTGCAGTGATGTCATATCTCCACGACTCCACAACTCCAGCACAAGTGCAGGAAAGTTTTCACTCTGTTGGAATCGTTCTGCTGACATTTACAGACTAGAAAAACCTGCCTCTAATGTTAGCATTGCTTCTAATAGTTTACTGTTTGCATGCTGTCTGTATCTGCCCAGTCTACACGAGGTCTAAATAATACAAATATATGTGAAGAATCTGCATGTGCAATATTTCAGAAAGTTTTGATGAACAAAACCAAAATGCTACAGAATAACAACAGAGCTAATAACATGCACTGGACGTGAAACTCTGACTTCAGTTCAGTGAGATTGGACAGTTTCAGTGTAGGCCTATGCTATATAGAATATCATAGACTTACGTAGACAGAACCAGCAGAGCTTCTATTTCTTCTGTGTATAGGTCAATGCCAGAGGACTCCAGCTGTATCTGCAAAGACAACTAATGAAAACAGCAGACAAGTTAGTTGTCCTGCAAACCGTTTAGAAAAGATACAGAAGTGAAATTTCCCTTAAAATGTACCTTTTCATTGCCTTTTATTGGATTTCCCAGCTCACAAATGACTGATTGTGTCCCAACAGTGGTGCATTCTAAGCTCTACACACAACAAAAATCATGATTTATTTTGTAATGCAAAGTGTCTAAAATTCTCAGTCATCTGCTACCCTCTAGTGGACGTACCTCAGGTCTGACTCCAGAGTATGTCAGAGGCTGAGTGAAGGTGACGTTGAGCATGGTCAGGTGGGCGTCCTCAGCCAGCCTCCCAGGAGAGGGAAGGTTGGTCACATCCACCAACACCCGTACTTGTTTTATACTGTTGTCAAACAGGAGCACTTGAACGCCATCCTTCCTGCAGACAAACAATGTTTATTTGTGATTATTTGAACACCTTAAAAGCACCACGAAGGCTTTCAGTGATTTGCTAGATGTGGTAATCCTGTCTGAAGGCTAGTTCAGTGCTTCATAGCTCAGGGTGTAGTCCTACCTGGGGTAAGGATTGTTAAGATTGTCTGCAAACTGAGCTGTCATCTGTAGGTTGCTGCTGCATTTGTTGTCCAAGCCACACTCCTTCTGAAAGTTTATCTATAGGACATGAAACAGGATCACACTTCATGCTCTTTACATATTCATGTAGAGTTAGGACCACTCTGTACCTCGGCTCTTTGGGTGAGCTTCTGCTCTTGGCTCAGAATGGGGTAGGCGTCCAGGTTCTGTAGGGAGCGTCTGGTTTTTACTTTTGGTTCTTGTAGTGACATGTTGACCGAAAACACCACTGGTTCCAGTTTATCCCTCAAATGTGTCTGTGAATGAATCCAAGAATGTCATTTTGGTCTAAATGACCACATGGCAAGCCATCCCATATGTGTAAACACAGGTTTTCCTTAGACCTTACCACTACGCTGAGTTTTAGGGCCTCACAGACAGTTTTGGAAGATGGTATACTCAGAGATCCAGAATATGTATCTTCATTATTTCGGAAACGAACGCGAGGGCTTCGTCTCCTCTGCATGTCAGCCTCCACTTTGTAGTCCACAACTTCCATGAAAAAATAAACAGAGCAGAACTGTTGTCGGACTCATTCACATAAGGACTCCACAGTTTTCACTGCATGTGAGAGCTTACTTATGCTTCTCTTGAAGTTTTTGTTTCCATTGCTTAGAGTGAAAGACATGCACACGGTGACAGTGATGCTGTGAGGAACGCAAAGGAGTTAAAACACAGCTAAAACAAGAGGGCCAGTTTCATATTTAAGTATATAAAGGACATTTTTACCAGGGATTGTCAGCAGGACAGTTATTAGGATCCACGATGTTGGGCTCAGCATTGAAAGTTTTAGTTAACTGAATGACTGGCCGAGCTCTGAAAACAGATGACCAGCTAGTTAGAGTTATTCATTTGTAAAAATGACAAATGTCTTTTCTGTGGTTTCTACCTGAGAAGGGCTACTTGGTCATCCAAAGAGCCAACTAAAATGTCAGGGTAGCTGTTGTCATCTACATCCATTCCTCCACTGATGGAGTAGCCAAAGGTCTTGAACAGTCCGTTACCAACGGACTTACCCTCAACCACCTGTAGACACACGCTGTTACACATAAAATTCATCCTGAATAATTCAGATAGAATTCTAGCAGAGAGAAATCTTAATTGTGGCTACCTGACTGGGCTTCTGTGAGATTTCTTTCTTACTTCCCATCCATATGAAGACCCTTCCCGTGTCTTGGAATGGTGCCCCCACTGCAAAATCTGCAACAGAAAATAATTAATGTGACATAAATGGTATTATGGATGAGGATTAGGGCAAATGAAATAAAAAAGGAGAGAATTCTGACTTTAATCTCCGAATTCTGAGATTTAAGTCAGAATTCTTTATTTTCTGTTTTTTCATTAGCCCTAATCCTCTTCCATATGTTCTAGGGATGAGCGAGTACACCACTATCTGTATCTGTTCAACCAACTAAATTATTTGTATCTGTACTCAGAATGGGCGTGGCATAACCTGGAAGTGGGCGTGGTTTGCATCAATATATTAAGTCTGAAATTGATATGGATTGATCAGAAATTGTATTGTTTATTTGAAAACTATTTACAGAGCAGCCTCAGAATTGAGATTACATATTTTGATCACAATAGTAAAGGAACTATTACAGAACAAGTGTCACGATCTGAGGATGGTTAGGACCCAAAATGCAGATACCCAGGATGACACGAGGCAGGAGTGAAGATAAGAAAAAATCCTTTATTGGATGAGCCAAGAAAATAAAATAAATCCAAAGGCTGGGAGCCAAAAATCCAAAAATGTCCAATTACTAAACTAGAGACCAAATCACTAGAGACAAGAGAAGCCTGACAAAATACCACAATGGACTGACACAACACAGAGACAAGACAGGGCTTATATACACTGGGAGGAGCAATTAGGGAAACAGGCAGCAGGTGTGTGGAGTGAGGGCTGGAGGGAAAGCAGGTGAATACAATTATCTAAATGGGGAACAGAACCAGAGGAGGGCAGATAAACCTAAAACCATAAAACACAAAACTAAACCTAAAGACTGAGGGAAGGACTCACACACACACACACACACATACACCGAGCTGGAGAAGGACACACACACACACACACACACACACACACCCACACACCCCGAGCTGGGGAAGGACACGCGCACACACACACACACACACACACACACACACACTGAAATAAAAGACCTATATAAACTGAGGTGGGGAGACTAAGAGACATGAAGAAAACCAGGAGGGAGCTGGGGACAAAAGGGCTGGAGCTACATGGACACAGAACGTGAAGGAACACCTGGAGGGGCTGGGGATGACTGAATGAACACAGGACCTGGAAGGAATGATTTAAGGGGCTACAAACAGAAGACATAAATGAGACATAGACAAAGGACACATGAGGGCGCTATGAGACGCAAAAGGGGAATCTAGAGAGGGATGAAGAACACCAGGAGACAAATGAGGGAAGACGCAGAAACAGACCATGACAACAAGTTTTTCAGTAAAATCAGAACATTAATATTTAAGTGCATGGATTAATACATTTGAACTCATGCAGTAGGAACTAGGAAATATGACATGCTACATCCAGACACAAATTTACATATATTTTTTAATTTTAATTTGATTAAACAGATTTTTTTTCTTAACGTTCTTGGCATTTTCCCACACAAAGTTAAACAAAACAATATTGATTAAGGTGTGTGTGTGTGTGTGTGTGTGTGTGTTTGTGCGTGTGTGTGTGTGTGTGTGTGTGTGTGTGTGTGTGTGTGTGTGTGTGTGTGTGTGTGTGTGTGTGTGTGAGAGAGAGAGAGAGAGAGAGAGAGAGAGAGAGAGAGAGAGAGAGAGAGAGAGAGAGAGAGAGAGAGAGAGGGAGAGAGAGAGGGAGTTTAAAAAAAATAAAAAACCCGACCGGAGCGGAGGTAGTGACTGACACCGCACGTCAGCTCTGTCTTGTCAAATGCACCATGTAAGTTACGAAAAAAGTAACTTTAAATATTCAACCGAAAAAGAGGTGAGCTGAAGAAAACCTAGGGAAAACTGAAGAAACGTGAGCAACAGTGAAGCAATCACAGAGAGATCCGTTACTGTCTGTGTGTGTGCGTGTATGAGCCGGGACCGGACGGACGGCTGCAGTTTTGTGTGTAGGGAGGGGCGGGTGCTCTATGTGACTGGCCAATCACAGAGAGTGAAGACAGTCAGTTATCCAATGAGGATTTTCCTTCAGCACGATTACAGATATTTACGAGTTTTACTCGTTTCATGCTCACATTCGTCAAAAATGCTTTATCCGTACCGGATACTCGTCTGAAACGAGTACCCGGCTCATCCCTAATATGTTCCATTCCTTTCCCTCAAAAAAATGAATGACCAATCTGCAGTAAACTTCACCTTGTTCATCAGTATCACAGGCATGCCTGAAACACACGTCATACCTTGGAATCCGTCCTGGTTGACGTCACCGATGGCAGCAAGTGCAAAGCCAAACCCAGAGGAGGCTGGACCTTTCAGCACCATGGTGGCTGTTTTCTGGAATGATCCATTCTCGTTCATGTAAATGTACACGGCTCCTCCGTGATCCTTCATACGGTCGAAGTAAAACGGGGCACCCACGATCAGGTCGTTCCAGCTGGAACAGAACAGATTTGGATATATAAAAACACTCCTTCATGGATTTTGTTCATTAAAAAATAGTACATTTTACCAAAGATTGGTTCAGTTCTCTCTGCAGGTGGTCTGAAATAGGTTGAATCAGGTTTAAACTAATCTAAAAATAGTTTAAGCTCAAGCATGTGTGGAAACGTACTCATCATTGTTGAGGTCAAGGACAGCTAGACTGTTCCCAAAGTAAGATCCCACTTGTTCTCCTGGGATAGTCTGTACCACCTCAAATTCAGAGTTTTCAGTCTTTTTTCCAAACAGCACAGAGCCCCTGGACTTATCCCTCGGAGCCCCCGTCACTACTGTGTGGTCGTTACGACTCAGAAGCTTCCGCTCCTCAAGAACTGAGTAACCTGTTAAAAAAACAAGGTTTCACGAACGTGCAGCAGCATAAATAACATTTAACTCATCGAGCCAATTTAAATGTGTGAAGGCTGCAGTGACACGTGACATTTAGATGATTAAACATTTACCTATGTAACTGTCTCGGTTTTGGTCCTTTCCAAAGCTTTTTTTATTATAGTCAAAAGAGTTCAATGGGTCTGGATCCCTCCAGATTACATGAACATTTCCTTAAACAAAAGCAAAGGCAGATTATTTTAAAATCGCTGTTTGTATACACTGGATGATAAGAGTTATGACTGTTTGACACTGAGGATGAATCCCATTTTATCTCTTTAATCATGCTCTTAAGGGTGTCCTGATGTATTTGTGATAGAAAACAAAGCAACAGTGCTTTCTTTTTTATTTTTTATTTTTTTTCTCCCGTGTCCTGTCTGGCTGTGAAGCAAACAGAATTGATGTCTGAATGCTGGTAACAAGCCTTACAGATTTACTCTCAGGTTGAGCATCAAAGCATTTGAATTTAATGTCACGCCTGATACTTAAAACTTCATTGTTATTGTTTTTGAATGCTTTTTAATTCCGACCAGACACGGAGACAGAGGTGAAAGAGAAAGGAAGAGACGGGGGGGGGGGGGGGGGGGGGGGGGGGGGGGTTCCACAAAAATAAACAATAATGAACAAGAGTCTGCTTCTAGACCTGCAGAAAGAGAGAAGAAAAAATAAATGAAAACAATAAAAAACAAACAAAACTATGGGACACAACAACAATATAACAAGATCAAGCTATCACTGTGTCAACTTGATGAAGAAATATATAATAAACATTGTTTAACTGAACAATCACACGATAATAAATCACAGTGCATTAAGTACCAACCATAGCCTGAAGACATGTTGAACGTGCCCAAGTCCATACTTTTGAGAGCACCATGTGAGCACCTGTGTGTGTACACACGCTTGTTTATGTAAGGTTTCTCTATAGGAGCATCCAATAGAGAGTGTGAGGGGCCACAGATCTGCCTCCTAAAGATGTGCAGGAGACGGAGGGAGCCCCAAGTCCCAGAGATCCAGGCGCTGCCCCAGAGCACAGGAACCCCAGGAAGACTGCGACCATAAAAGCCCCTGCCCCCTCGAGAGGCGCAGAGGATCGCCCCGGGGGGCCACAACCAGCAGCCGGCAAAGCCCCGGGAGATATTGGCAGCAAGCCCACAGACCCGCCCGCAGCCTCCCACCCCCTAGCCGGCTGAGCCTGGGACCCAGGGGCGACCACCCCCGCCGGGGACCCAGCAGAGCCCAGGGACCCAGACCCCACCAGGCAGCCACCGGGATTGGTCAGGCAGACGCCAAAAATCTTAAACTCCCTGACCCGGGAGCCACGACCCAGGCAGACCAAGAAACCGCACTCCACACCAGGTGTGGCAGGGAGAGGGGAGACGAAGATCTATATCACCAAAAGAAGTCCCAGGAAAAGGGAGAAGGGAGCAACAGTGCTTTCTAACTCTTAAGGGTTTAAAGGGTTTTGTGTACCAGGATGAAATTAAAGTGGTCTGGTCTTTATTCGAAATTATTCCTGAAGTGTAAAAGAACAAAACTGGATTCCAAGTTGTATTTTAAAAAGCCAAACACTCTTTTAAAGGTTTTCCAAATGTGAATTATCTTCCTCCTAGCAGAATGATGGAAATGACTTTTAACCCTTTCCAGACAACAACAGGTGCCTTTTTAAGATTGATGCTGTCTTTCCTCTTGGGTATTTTGTGAACACACGCCAGTATGCTCCAGACCAGCAAACAGTCAAAGCCCTTACTTTTTATAGAGCTGGAAAAACCAGGGGTATTCAAGTCTGGCCCTGGAGGGCCAGTATCCTGCACGTTTTAGTTTTAACTCTGTTTCAACATACACATTCAACAGGTGATTAACAGGCTTCTGCAGTGCCTGATGAGCTGCTGCTCAGGTGATTTAATCACTGAATCAAATGTGTTGGTCTAGAGAAACCAGTAAAGCAGGCCGGATACGAGCCCTTCACGATCAGAATTTAATATCCCGGATCTAATGGATCCAAACATTTTATAAGCAAAGCTGGGAATGCAATAAGAGTGGATTTAGTTTCACATCCAGCTTTTCCATATTGGCTCTACTTTTGATGAACAAACATAATGGAATGTGCTTTTTAAACAATTAATGTTGGATTTAAATCACTTTAGAACCTGGAAGACCAGGTCGTTTTTATTATAAACTGACACATAAAAGCAAAGCATTTTTAACAAAAGTTGTCTTTCTTCTGGACATACTCAGAGTTGGGGCAGCAGTAGCTCAGGTGGTAGAGCGGGTTGCCTCATGATCGGAGGGTCGTGGGTTCAATTCCAGCTCCCACCAGGGATATCCTGCTGTTGTGTCCTTGGGCAAGACACCTAACTTGCCTGTGTTAGTGGTGGTCAGAGGGGCCGACGGCTCGCCTCTGTCAGACCTCCCCAGGGCGGCTGTGGCTACAAGTAGCTTACCATCACTAGCAGTGTGTGAATGTGAGAGTGTGTGGGAAGCGTCTTTGAGTGTCTAGAAAAGCGCTATATAAGTTCAGTGCATTATTATTATTATTATTATTATTTTTATTTTTATTATTATATCTATTTATGTAAAGGGAATTGCCAACAATCGATAATTGATTCACTTCCTCTAGTGGAATATTGAAATTTCAAATTAAGAATAAAAAATGGGATTCATCCTTGGTCCATTTACAAACATAAAACAACAAAATGCATGTTTTGATAAACCGCTCTTGGCACCCACCTTGCCAAGTGAAGCTCCCCGTAGAGCCGAGGTAGACATCAGTGTCCGTCATGCCACCTGAGATGCCCAAGTTGCACAAACCCTCTGCCTCCTTGTCCAGAGTGGGGTTACAGATCTCATAACTGTCAGTCTGCCAGAAATCAGAGTCGTCTAAACTCAGGTCGTTACCCCTCACGTAACACTTTCCAATCATTCGCCTCTGCCCGTCTGCACCACCCTGGGGGATCTTCACGTAGCGATGCCCGCATGCCTAGACACCAGAAAAAAGTCACGGTCCGTGAGATTGTGCAGCTTCTCTAAAATGTTTACAGAACATTTAAATCAAGCATTAATAATGACTAAGCATAAGCACACTTACTTTTTAATTAGCAATTTAAATAATGAAAACTTTAAAGAATATCGTTCCTTTTTGAGTTACGCGTTGCAACAATCGTCCTTTGTAAGCATGTATTAGTTTCTATTTGAGAGTAGAATTTCACAGTTTGTTTAGAGGCTAATAAAAACAGTATCATATGTCAGCAGCAGTCTGCTATTAAATAGAACAAGATATTCTATATGTTCTCTGTGACACTTAGGAAAGACATCAGTCATCACCAGCATGATCTCACGGGTATCACTGAACTGGCTCTGATTAATGGAGTGAAACACAGTGTCATCTCACCAGTACACGTCCATCTGGCTGGCCCCTCTGACTGGCCACTGTCACACCCAACCACATGCCCTCCACTATCTCAGAAGGATTTGCTGTGAATGACAGAAACAAGTTAAACATTGGTTTCTTTATCATTGGACTGATTTTGAAGTCAGTCACATTCAATTATCCCAAAATGATCCGAATTCAAAGGTTCCTCCGCTAACTGACCTGGGAAAACTGAAACGTGGAAATAAAAAAGTACATTTTACAGGCAGAGTTAAAATTTGATGTGGTTGTAAATTTTAAATTGAGATATATTCATATTGGCTCTTAATTTACAACAGATTATGTTTTTCACTGAAAACTCGGTCATGAAAGTATGTTTTAGTCAATAAATGCAAGGCCTTTCATTTGGGCCAGGTTTAAGACCAAAAGAAAGGTATGAGTGTGTGCAACTCCAAACTTCCAATTACTGGAGAGAGTGCAGTTGTATCTTCAGAGGTTCTGGTCCAACCGACCCAGTCAAACCTAGACTAGACTGGATTGCTCATACAAGTTTTGGATGGGATACCATATAAGATGCTATTGCTGTAGTTGATCTGTGATGTGATGAACACATGAATAAGGGTTTCGGGGACAGAGAAAGAAAGGAAAGGTCAAAGTCTAACAAAATACAACCCAGTCACATGACTAAAACATCCAGAGCCCCTCCACCACCAACACACACCTTTTTCTCTTCTCTTCCACAATGTGCCCCCGTCACAATTCTGTCTGCCCCCTCAAAAATGCCCATCTAGAACCTGCCCTGCTATAGTCCCTCTTCACATACATGGCAAAATTATCAAAAAAATAAATAAATATGTATGACAATGAGAGCTTACTGCAGGGCTTTTGCATCTTGTCCACCAGGATATCTCCTGCTGATTCAGCTTTAACCATTAGATCAAACTTGTTTGACAAGCGAACTACCAGACTGTCCAGTTTCTAGCCTGAATTTAATCACACTCAGAAAAATCATCACAATTAGGTCATAGCATTTTTAAAGCTGCACCCTAATCTTCTTGTCAACATTTTTTCTTTGAAAGCATTTTAACCCTAGCCAAGAAGAACGTTTTAAAGCAATCTTCACCTTCAGGATTGTGATCAAAGACACATGGAGCACAACAATGACCCTAATGACTCCTCATGAGGAGGATTGGGGGGGGACACATTCGTAAACTAGCTTGAGTTAAACTCTCACTTCAGGAAATTCAAACAAAATCCTGTTGCTTTTTTGGATACTAAACTTGCAATAACAATTGCAACATCTGACCACTAGATGGCTCCATAGAAAGACAAGGAAGTGGAACGGGGGTTTTCATAAAAGAGCATTTAGTGCTTTGTGCTTACTTGCGCTGACCAGATTGATCCTGGAGCAGTCTGCAGGGTCAGTGGAGATGGGACAGGAGTAAACAGCACCTGTTTCATTGACTTGGGGTAGAGAATTGGCTTTTTCTTTGGGTGCTCCCACAAGAAGCCTGGACACAGAAGAGAGAAACAATCTCAGATCAAATCACACGTGTTGCTAGATGACACAAAGCAGGGCAGTAGTCACATCACAGATAATCTAGCAGATAACCTGTGTAGTCTAAACACAGATAATGTATCCTGCAGCCACATGTTCTGCTGCATTGCATTCTCTTCCAACAGCATTTAACAAGGGTGTGTATCCTGAGAGTGCTCATTCACTTTGAAGGACACACAAACACACACACGCATGCACGTGTGCGCACACACACGCGCGGACACTCCCTACATCAGAACCTGTTACCACAGCAATGAACTTTGAAACTGAGCGATTACTCCTCTGCAAGACTCAAGGCAACGCTGTTTATCATAAGCACAGGATTTATTGTTAGCCCTTTGTAGGTGAAAGGTGTGGGTAAACTTGTGTGTTGGTGACATACGAACTGCATTACTCTGTACAGAAAGACAACACAAGGGTGGATCATAACTTTGGCAACTTTTTTTCAATTTGCTCTTCCTGGAGGAAGAAATCTAGTCAATCCTGGCTTAAACATGACAAAACTCAAGTTTTGTGACAATCAGTAGCGAAAAAAAAACATGTCAATGTTTAGATATAACAATATGTTGTAATAGAGATAATCAGTTCATAATCAAAATACTAAACTTTAAAGATAAGGTCAAACAGATTTCAAATAGAAATGAGTCTCTAAGTGAAAGAGCCTATTTACACTAAAGCAAAGACAGATTCGGGATGCTTGACCCACACACACTAGGAACACTGACACGTGTAAAACGTTGAGCGAGCCCACCCCCATGTTGTTTCTGGTATGCACGACTAAAAGTCACCTGTGGCCTCGTCTATGAAGAGTATAAGGGTCACTATAAACTATTTTATAATTAAAGTTTTCGTAATTCTTACAAGTGGTGTTCGACCACAACTTCACTGCACTGTGGGCGTGCACAGCATCAACACAGCATTGATAGATGATGGGCCTGATCTTCTCACCAAGACCTCCAAAGACCATCAAGGTCGTCATCGATTGATAAATTAAAAAAAAAAAATAAATAAAGGATTTTTTTTTTCAACACCATACAAACTCCATGAGATCTTGGGGTTCTTAATGTTGTACCCCTATGATCTCAAAGTACCCAAATGTACAGTCTACTTTCTTTTTTTTACTTTTGTCTGCACTTAAGACCATGAATAAATCAGCACTTTTATGGCTTCTGATGAACATCTGTCTTCACCGCTCTCGTAGAAGAAATGTTAGTCATGTAGAGAGAAACTATAATTGATGTGAGCAAAATGTGTCTGAGAACAAGCCTGTTGAAGCATGTACCTCAACATTCTTGTGTGGGTTTACGTTTGTGCTGCCATAAATACTTGGAACAATGGAGAAACCAGCATTTCACACTGCTTACATGAACTGAAACATTCGGACAGTCATCGGACTGTTAAATAGAAAATAACATCTAGTGTGTTTTCATTCAATGAGCAGTGCACAATGTATCAGAACACAACGTTCCAAGTGTAACGTACCAAAAGGGTCCATTTTTCACTATCTACATTGACCAACATAATAACTTTTCATCTACAGCACTTTCTATTTGGCCTTCTAAATCCAGAAGGTTCTGTTCAATGCGTGTTAACATACAGAAGACAAAACATCCAGACAAACATTCTCTCCCAAAGTTCCTGCACTCTCTGTGAGAGCCAGACGTCAACATTCTTCACTCTGAAAAAGTGAAGACTCCACGATGTTATTGTTATAACTTAAATAATCATATGTGATGACTGAACAAGATGTTTAAATGAAATGTTTGAATAATCTGTGCTTAAACCAATGATGGCTTTAAAATGAATGTTGTTCTTACAACGATCCATTTATATTATAAATCAGTATGTGTTTGATTTAACAAGTTAATCATTGTTTGCACTCATACACATTACAATAAGATACATACTCAGGTTAAAATGCACCTCACATAAGGTTTTGATCATTCTCATTCACAGTGTTAAAAACATCTTGGTATCTGAAGAAGGCGTGGGTTTCTGAGGGATGTTGGTAAATACTCAGAAACGTGTCAAATTCTGATTTGCAAAACTTGGCCAGGATTCATAACAAAGTAGTTAAATAAAACAAGACTTATTCCCGATTAATTCAGTTTCTCGCTGACCCTCGAACCAGACAATTCAGAAAAGAAGCATTTTTGAAACCGTCTTGTCCTTTGTCCTCCAGTCAAAACCTCTCTGCAACGCTGCGGCTGAAACCAGACAACCGGCTCTTCTAAGAGCCAAGCAAACATCAGCCTTAGACACAAATAAGCATTCCAGCTTTCAGCCTTCACCTCGAGGGATCTCAGACCAGACGGGTCCTATCAGAACTGGCTATGGGTTCCTGATATCAGAGGTTCACTCCACCAGCAGTTACCATTGAACCCCCGAATTAAACGAGAAACTCCACACCAAGGGTGCGTAGACATGGCACGACAGATTGCGTCTGATGCTGTTTTTAATAAACAACTCTAGTTTATAACAAACAACAAATTATTTTACACCCAGATTTCACAATTTCTCTCAGATGCAATGAACGGTTGCTACAACATCTAGCTTCTATCACAACACCTCACATCCACCACATCACATCTTATTATTCATATCTCGTCATGTATAAATTATTAGTTTAGGAAAAATAATTAATTTCATTTTATAAACTATATACTGACTGTCTGAATTAATACGAAGTGTGTTTATGGTCCCTGAATAAGCAAAGAACCCTAGAATCCTCTAATTAACTCATTCACTGCCAGCCGTTTCCTGATCACTAACGGCCTTCGCTGCCAGCGTTTCTCACCGTTTTTACTGTTTTTTAAGAGTCACAGAACTTGGCGCGCTAGCATGATGTCGACGCCAAAACAACCAAAACAAAGAGAAGACTCACCTTTTACATCAGGAAGAAGCCGCGTGTTTCGAGCGTTATCCGTTCTTTCATAATCCGTTGTCGAATTGTGATCGGCAGACGCTTTTCCGGTTCGCGCCTCACTTTATTTACAGGAACGGCCCAAAATGATCTCCAAACACATGAATGTGTTGCTTCCTGATCATGTGATCTGTGAGGTATGCAGATGAAGATCGGCTTCAGGGCTGAGATGTTTGTTCTCTCAGCGCGGGGCTCGTTCCGATGCTCAAACAGTAAAAAAATGCAAATGACGACTTTAGTCGTCATTGGCAGTGAATGAGTTAAACATTAAAAGATCAATCAGATTGATATTTCATATTTGTATGGAATCATCACATCTTATTGGTCATAATTAATATGTATTAGTTGCTACACAATGTTGGAGGTTTTGATGAGAAAACAGAACCACAGAATTCCTTATGAAAGATCGAGTTAAAAAGAGACTTCAGAAACACTTCGAGGATCAGTAGCTTAAGTTTTACAGAAATGGAGCACGGTTATGCATCAGCTACTCAAGCTTTCAGAGCATGGATTACCAAGGCTGATCTGGTGACCACCAACATAAAGTAAGACATGTTAATCCAACTGATGAACACAAACAAGAGACCAATGGTGTGTTGATGAATTTATGACCAATCGCTAATCGACAGTAGGACTGAGTTCTCACCAACTGCAATTTTCAAAACAGTTCAAGCTAAATGTCACAGCAGTCTAAAGTAATTCAATATCCGGTGTTTTCCTCGCATCGAGTAACACTCACATTGGGTTTTTATGAGTCTCACTGGGTGAAAACTCCAACTTACATTCGGTAAACACAACAGAAAACAAACCCCACTTTCTGATGTGCAACCTACCCAAGGTAACAGAGGCACTTCGGATGAGCCAGCTAATGCTGACACAACCTGATCTGGCTGCCTGATGTTTGTAGGTGGTTTTTCCATGAACTGATGAATCCACCCATCACTTAATGTATGAGAGAGTCCGAAATCATGATTTACTATAAAACATCTGCCATAAAACCAACACAAACGTGAGTCACCTGAAGTTGACTCACCCATGACAGCTCCCCTCATTTCACATCCTGGCACAACAATGTTCTCTCTCTCTTACTCCCCACATGATCTCCTATCCAGCTCATCACCTTCGCATAAACAGGCTGTCAGAGATCCCTGCAGTGGAACAAGGGCAACCAGCAGCTTCATTCTTACTGAGAACATGTAAAAATTTGCTTCCTCTGACAAACAAGTGTTCCAAATAAACAGCTGAACCAAATATTTACAAAGGAAAAATACTCCTAGTTAAACTTAATGCCTCCTTGACATAAAAAGGAAGAAAAGGTAGGTGGGTGGTGGGGTGACAATAACCTAATAAGGTAGATATGACATGCAGATACCAACATCTGTTTAAATAGAGTGGGTACAGAAAGTATTCAGACACCCGTCAATTTTTCATTCTATTACGTATATTGCAGGCTTTGCAGCCATTTGTTAAAATCAATTAAATTCATTTTTTTCTCATTAATGTACACACATCACCTCATATTGACAGACAAACACAGAATCGGAAGCCTCTCCTCAGTGCAAGACACATGAAAGCCCACATGGAGTTTGTTAAAAGACGCCTGAAGGACCCTGAGATGGTGAGAAATACGATTCTCTGGTCTGATGAGACCAAGATAGAACTTTTTGGCCTTAATTCTAAGCAGTATGTGTGGAGAAAACCAGGCATTGCTCATCACTCTTCCAATACAGTCCCCACAGTGAAGCATGGCGGTGGCAGCATCATGCTGTGCGGGTGTTTTTCAGCTGCAGGGACAGGACGACTGGTTGCAATTGAGGGAAGTATGAATGTGACCAAGTACAGGGAAATCCTGGACAAGAACCTTCTCCAGAGAGCTCAGGACCTCAGACTGGGTTGAAGGTTTACCTTCCAACATGACAATGACTCTAAGCACACAGCTAAAATAACGAAGGAGTGGCTTCACAGCAACTCTGTGACTGTTCTTGAATGGCCCAGCCAGAGCAGTGACTTAAACCCAGTTGAGCATCTCT